GTTAGGATCACCTTAGGGCTGTGACAGTCATAAGTCTGAGTGTCATGATCACCTCAGGGCTGTGACAGTCTTAAGTCTATGTTAAAGTATGGGAGTTAGGATCACCTTAGGGCCGTGACAGTCATAAGTCTATGTTAAAGTATGAGTGTTATGATCACCTTAGGGCTGTGAAAGTCATAAGTCTATGTTAAAGTATGGGAGTTATGATCACCTTAGGGCTGGGACAGTGACGACTCTATGTTTAAAGTATGGGAGTTATGATCACCTTAGGGCTGGGACAGTGATGACTCTATGTTGAAAGTATGGGAGTTATGATCACCTTAGGGCTGTGACAGTCATAAGTCTATGTTAAAGTATGAGTGTTATGATCACATTAGGGCTGTGACAGTCATAAGTCTATGTTAAAGTATGGAAGTTATGATCACCTTAGGGCTGTGACAGTCATAAGTCTATGTTAAAGTATGAGTGTTATGATCACATTAGGGCTGTGACAGTCATAAGTCTATGTTAAAGTATGGGAGTTATGATCACCTTAGGGCTGGGACAGTGATGACTCTATGTTTAAAGTATGGGAGTTATGATCACCTTAGGGCTGGGACAGTGATGACTCTATGTTGAAAGTATGGAAGTTATGATCACCTTAGGGCTGTGACAGTCATAAGTCTATGTTAAAGTATGAGTGTTATGATCACCTTAGGGCTGTGACAGTCATAAGTCTATGTTAAAGTATGGAAGTTATGATCACATTAGGGCTGTGACAGTCTTAAGTCTATGTTAAAGTATGGGAGTTAGGATCACCTTAGGGCTGTGGCAGTCATAAGTCTATGTTAAAGTAGGGGAGCTATGATCACCTTAGGGCTGTGAAAGTCATAAGTCTATGTTAAAGTATGGGAGTTATGATCACCTTAGGGCTGTGACAGTCATAAGTCTGAGTGTCATGATCACCTCAGGGCTGTGACAGTCTTAAGTCTATGTTAAAGTATGAGTGTTATGATCACCTCAGGGCTGTGACAGTCATAAGTCTATGTTAAAGTAGGGGAGCTATGATCACCTTAGGGCTGTGAAAGTCATAAGTCTATGTTAAAGTATGGGAGTTATGATCACCTTAGGGCTGCGACAGTCATAAGTCTGAGTGTCATGATCACCTCAGGGCTGTGACAGTCATAAGTCTATGTTAAAGTATGGAAGTTATGATCACCGTAGGGCTGTGACAGTCTTAAGTCTATGTTAAAGTATGGGAGTTAGGATCACATTAGGGCTGTGACAGTCATAAGTCTATGTTAAAGTAGGGGAGCTTTGATCACCTTAGGGCTGTGGCAGTCATAAGTCTATGTTAAAGTATGGGAGTTATGATCACCTTAGGGCTGTGACTGTCATAAGTCTGAGTGTTATGATCACCTTAGGGCTGTGACAGTCATAAGTCTGTGTTTAAAGTAGGGGAGTTAGGATCTCTTCAGCGCTACGGTCGCTTTGTGGAACGGCCCAGGACTGCTTGATTCATTGTGTGTGATATAAGTATTAATATTGTGTATCACTCATGTGTAAGCTCTTTGTGCATTTTGGTAGGGCTGGTTGGTTGGTTGTTTTACGCCACACTCAGCAACATTCCAGCTATATGACGGCTGTCTGTAAATAATCGAGCCTGGGCCAGACAATCCAGTGATTGACATCATGAGCATGGATCCACGCAATTGGGATCGATGACATGCATCAACCAAGTCAGTGAGCCTGACCACCCGATCCCGTTAGTCGCCTCTTATAACAAGCATAATCTACATTTTGAAACTAATCTCACACTATGTGAACCCATGCACAGTAGATGTGGGCCGGTCGGGTAGCCTAGTGGTTGAAGCGTTCGCTCGTCACGCCGAAGATTCCCGACATGGGTACAATGTGTGAAGCCCATTTTTGGTGCTGGAATATTGCTCAAACCGGCGTAAAACCATACTCACTCACTCACAATAGATGATATTAACTTTCTTCTCTCTCTTGTCTCCATGCGTGTATTTAAGTGTCAGTTTACACCAGTGGACAAAATGTAGATATGCAACACTGACCGGCCCGTAAAACTCTTATTACCCATTAACGTCTTCTCACAATTTCCCACCTTGTTCTCAGCCATCAATAGGAAGCTATATATACAGATAACCTAAATATAGTGAACCTATTCACAGCGCCCTTGGCCTGTTTACAAGCTCTCACTGGAAACCGCTCATGTGGAACCCTTAAAGATTCTGCCTTAATTATAACATGCATTGAACCCTGTAGTTCGACCGTGACGAAGTTATCCACGTCCACCGCCTCCAGCTGTTATAGGGGGTTGTCAGCTCGCTGCAGGCTCCCAACACTTTGGGTACGAGGCACAACGTACACCGGTCAAAGTCCACTTTCTATAACCCTGCACCCAGGCAGACAAGCAGACGTAACCAACCACCCGCGGGAGGAGACTTAACTCGCCCTCAACTCTCTTCACAACTGATTACATTTCCAAAACCTAAACGTAAGTATGTAATATGTATGTAATATTCAGCTTAATGTTCATGGCAATGACTTCCCGTAAACGCTGGTGCCAACACAATAGTAATCATAGTAAAGTTGCAGCTTTGCACGAACCACACGAACCCAAGCAGCTCGCAGTATCTGTAAGGGATTCTCGCTGTTTAGGCCAAAAATGTTATTTACATTCGCGTTTCGTTGAGTGTAGCCACGGACCTAAATAACCCGTGGTAACATTCTTATTTAGGCCGTGATGGGGACTTTTGTTAATGCAATGTATGCTATGGAATATATTCACGTGGGCGTTGTTTGGATATGATTTCGCTGTTGGCACTCTTTGGACGACATGTATGCATTACACAGTACAAAAGTCTCCGGATAGAAGGTTCACGAATTGATTCTTGTTAACTAGCAGTATGCTGTAACGCCTGGATGGATTTTATACGCCTTCCAGTCTTTTCCTCTTCACAATTCAGCTGCTGATCACATCCTTGGGCTATTCCTAAACATAAACACAGCCCAGCATCGACAACTTTCCCGCATACCTAGACTAACATCTAGTCTCTGAAATGAACATACCGTACAGAAAAAAGACAGTTGTTCAGTTATCTTAATAAAAATATAATAAAAGGGAGACCAGTGACTCTCTTCATTTTCAGATACTGCAGTAATCTAGACTTGCCAAACATTATAGTCTTGCATGGGCTGTATTTGATATATATTTGTATCAGGGTCTGTAAGACCGCATACCCTAATGCCCCCTCCCTGCCCCCTGTTCACCACGGCCGAGTTTCGGTTGAATTCTGCAGCCAGATGTCTTCTAAATGCCATTCAAAGACTTGGGCAGCCAGATGTTTGTCGTCGTACTGCTCTGCTCTCGCGAGAACACAAGCATAACTATGTTATTTTACCCGCCCATGACACACGGCGTGTACATTGGTTTTGTAATACATTCAACCGTAACCCCTCAGCGTAATCTCTCCGCGATTGTGTAGAGTATTGTATGTACATGTACTGTATAAATCTGACGCGCTTAATCGATCGAGGCATTGAAACTCTTGTGTAGTATAGAAATATTTCCATGATTAAACTAACGGTCTAAATTTATTGCAATTGTACATCATACCATTAGAATTAAATCTGAAACGTAGCCGCCATTACCATCATCGTTTTTATCGCTTTATAATCATCATAAATATATTTATAGTAGTGATTTGAGTGTAAAGCATTAGATTTATAAGTGCCGTTGACATATACCGTTGTGTTCAGGGGATTGTAATTGTTGCAGGAATTTAAACGCATTTTGTTAGAAATATGAATGTACAACGGTAATAAAATATCTTTACAGAACAGCTGCATGAGCTGATCAAATTCTTACCAGCGTATAATATAACAGACTATAAAATAGATCTATGTTATGGTCTCTGTAATGTTGTAATATCAACTCAAGTAATGTGCGACCCCCCCCCCCCCCCGATTCAAAATATATATAGGTGGTGAGAGGGATTATAGCTAAACGTTTTCCAGCACTATAACTCATAACTGTAATATATGTTCTCAATAAAAACAAGGCATCTGCCAAAACGCATATAGCAAATGTTAACACTTTCTTAGTAAAGTACAGATTCCAGTACTTTTTTTTCTGGGGGGGGGGGGGGTGGTGAGACTCATCTGGGATGATTCGAACCCACACTGTCAGAGTGGGGCACCTAATCGCCAGCAATCTGACCCACTCAGCCACCGAGGCTTCTAAACGCAGATTTTCGAGGATTTGGGGCATAGCACTTATAACTGTTCACTTCTCATCACAAAATTCACATCCCCTTTCCCCAAAAAAGATTGCACGCTCCTGTATAAACTTAGCATATAGGTCAGTGATCTATAGTAGCATGATGTCACAACAGAGCAAACAGTGCAATTTCTTAACAATAACGTTCTATTGTCAAACATACTACACTTCAACCATTACCAAACTTCAGTGGGTAAGCGCCACAGTGTTTGTACGGCTCGATGACAACACACACCAGGACGTGAGATTATCGCACACAGCTAACCATTATCACCCTCTAGCTAAATACTTTAAGTCTTAATCAGAATGTGGCATAACTTTGTTTAGTAACGATCAAAAGACGACTTAGCCTACGACAAGGGAGGGCGATCAGCTGAGCTAGGCAACGCCTCCATGTTGATCGGCCTGACAGGCAATTAACGTCTACTCCAGGTGGATGTGTTTCTGCCGACAAACACCGCTAATGGATGCTGAAGCATGTGTAATATATTACGTAATTTGTATTGGCGATAATTGGCCGATGGGTAAGAATTGAATTGAATTGGGTAAGTAAATTGGTTAATTACATATTCAGTTAAAACAAGGTTCCAAAGGGCGAAATCACAAACATGGTGTACATTAATGATTTAGTTAAATCCCTGTCAAATATAATTCGACTTTTGCTGACTATACATCTACCGGCGTTGCTGTATCGTGAGTAGAAGTTATACACAAATGCCTTAGCAGTGATTCAACTACACTAGAAGACGCGCTTCAGATAAGGCTAGTATAGTTCAATCCTAGCAAAATGATATATGATGTTTAGTCTCCGTAACTTAGCCCATGTACCTGATTTAATTTTCTACTATCAGTACTTAGATACACAGAAACATGTTGGCGTAGTATTGTCCGATGGTGTTAAAAGTCATGTACATGGTGTGGAAAAAATCAACATCTAAAAACTTGAGATGTACTTCTTATAAAGGCGCTGTTGAACACAGACCAAATATACGCCCTATTTTGGAATATGTATTTGGGATGGTTGTGAAGAGTAAACCGGTAGACTGGAGATGGTAGAATTAGAAGCAGCAAGGATCGCTACAGGTCTTCCAACATTTACTTCTAAAGCTAGTTTATGTCATATAGTATGTTTCATAATAGACGCAGACAGAAATAGCTTTGTACATTCTACAATGTTTTTTAACAACAATGTTCCTGATTAGTTTCTTCAACAAATGAAACGTTCACTAATTATAACCTACGAATCAAATTCGATTCCAGATTTAAAACTATTACCAGTTGTCAAAATCGTTAATTTATGATATCAAAACAAAACAAAACAACCCTCCTACCGTAATATTAAATGACCGGTCCCATATAGCGCCAGGGTTTTTAGTCTACGTTAATGAAAGCGAGAGTTGTGCGACAGTAGTACAGCCTTTATATAGCTGTGTGCAACGGGACCCAGTGAATACTAGTTTGTAAGTTTATTTGCACATGCATATGTCTTACGTATATTTGCTTGAATGTTGACACACGTAAGCCGCGCGTACGTGCCATCTGAAATACGCTTGTATATGTCAACATAATTTCCAAGGCCAATAAATATTTTCATATAACATTTTTTTTTACGGTATATCATTAGACCGTGTGAAGGTCTCGTACCTTAAATGAACGATATAATTTAATTGATATTTGATTAACCATTGATATAAGTTAACGTTTTAACTCACTTGAACCTGAGGTACATGCGACTGATGTCACGGAGTATTGTCCGTCGTGAACTTTAGACGCTTAGACAAGTTGTATTTCCTTAAGTCGTGTGTATTTTGAGGCACGGGTGGCCCAGTCGTCTAGGGCGCCACGAATCACTATGAAGAGGTGCGCCCTTCAGACACGTCAGAAACCTACAATCGTGGGTTCGAATCCCAGTTCGTCCCGTGTCTAGGTTTGTAAGTCCCTTCCTCTTTATTTATTAATCATATTTTGATTTATTTTGACAGTTTTGTGACCTTGATCGTCTCACATTCAAATCTACATACAGTCAATCACCGTTGTGTCGATAACTTCTAGTTATCCGAGATTCGACACAATCGAAAATGAACTTAGGATACATTTACCGTTTTGCATGAAGAATGGATAACACGAAACATATTCGACAAACAAACAACGACAAAATAATTTAAATCTCGACTTATCTGAGTACAAGTTTTGGGACTGGAAAACGACCTCGAGACAACCATTACTTCGACACATCCGATTCGACATTCAGATGTCAAATAATGATGAATAAAGAAGGAATATGCAGGGTCAAACTTTAATTCGAGACAACCGTAATTTCTACACAACATTGTTGGACTGTATATAGCGTTGGAAACATGAATACAATTCAGGTGATCGACGCAATCTACTCAATGTTTATGTGTTACACGAGTTCATGAACGTAGATCAACACAAACATACAAACAATTTACGTTTGTTGTTTTGATAATTAGGAAGAGCAATGGGACTGGCTGTGCAATATGTGCTCCGACCGAGTTGTTTCAATTTCCACTTTGCAGCCTGAGGTCTTTATGTAACCTGTTCTCTCAAGTCTGGGTGTCATTCGACATTGTCCCAGTGACCTGATTTTTGGATAGCAATCACAAAACTTGGCCGAATTACGTTAAGCATTACTATTGGCTGATAACCAACATAGCCTCGAGACATTCTCCTTGATAACACCGATAATTAATCAGTGCAGACCCGCCTATAGGTATATCTGTGGCATGTTATAGTGGTAAAACAAAGTATACTCGAAGTCAATGTTAACGCACCGTGATACAAGATATCATGACTTTATTATCTTTGTTTGAACTGATTGCTTCCAGTCCTAAAAGTATTCGACCTAGTCTAGGGCTATACCTATAATAAACTACGACCAAGTCCACAACAATACCTATAGTAAACTACGACCAAGTCTACAACCATACCTATAGTAAACTACGACCAAGTCTACAACCATACCTATAGTACACTACGACCAAGTCTACAACTATACCTATAATAAACTACGACCAAGTCTACAGCTATACCTATAGTAAACTACGACCAAGTCTACAGCTATACCTATAGTAAACTACGACCAAGTCTACAGATATGCCTATAGTAAACTACGACCAAGTCTACAGCTATACCTATAGTAAACTACGACCAAGTCTACAGCTATACCTATAGTAAACTACGACCAAGTCCAC